ACAAGTGCCACGCTAGTAGTAACAAGTGCCTTACTAGTAGTAACAAACAGCTATTAGAATTAAAGTTAAAATTAACTTAAATTAATAGCTTCTTGTTACTACTAGTAAGGCACTTGTTACTAGTAGGGATGCACTTGTTCCTAATGGCTTCTTGTTACTACTAGTAACAAGTGCCACGCTAGTAGTAGCAAGTGCCTCACTAGTAGTAACAAAAAGCTATTAGAATTAACTTAAATTAAATTAATAGCTTCTTGTTACTACTAGTAACAAGTGCCACGCTAGTAGTAACAAGTGCCTTACTAGCAGTAACAAAAAGCTATTAGAATTATACTTAAACTTAAATTAAATTAATAGCTTCTTGTTACTACTAGTAACAAGTGCCACGCTAGTAGTAACAAGTGCCTTACTAGTAGCAACAAAAAGCTATTAGAATTAAATTTAAGTTTAAATTAAATTAAATGCTTCTTGTTACTACTAGTAAGGCACTTGTTACTAGTAGCGATGCACTTGTTCCTAGTAGGGAACATTGTTACTACTAACACAAACCATGCAAAACAAACATTGCAGGTTCTGGAATCTGCACCGTCTTTTCTCGACCTACTATGGATCAAAGTACAAAAAAAGAATACACTAATGGATCAAAGCCCCGACACACCATAATTGCACTTGATCGGTCACCAATGACATACAAAGTCTTGTAGGGTTGAGGCCTGCTCCTCACCGTGCAATCTGTTTCTATAGTCACTCTCAACATCTCGAATCCCGGATTGAAATGGGTAACCTCTGTTCGCGTTCCACTTGTTGATGTGATACCTCCACAACAAGCTGTCATGAACAATGACCAGCGTTGTCGTGCGGACTTGATGATTCTGGGACCGGCCAACACATCAATGGTTGGCCGATTTCCATCAATGTCCATCATTTTTCCCTAGGTTGGAGGCCACCGCTATTAGGTTGGAGGCCATCATTTTTCCATCCCGACGAACATGCAGCTGTTGGGGCAAGTTGCATTTGGTGTTGCCGTCGCTGAGCGCCTTCTGCCCCGCCCGGGAATGGTGGCAAGGACAGGCACAAGTGCCATGGTGCGTCACAAAGACGCTGCTCTAAGCGGTGCAGGGAACCTCGTGGGTCCTCCACCAAGAAGACCACCTGGAAAAACAGAGGCACGGGGGCTTGGAGGTTGAAATGTTGGAAGGGTGTGGAAAGAACATGGGATGAACCAGAGTGCGGTTCTTGAGATTTCTTTTGCCAAAAATGGGTTGGACGGCAACTGATTTGACATTCGCTAATGTGTACATGGGATTTAGCTAACATGTTTGCAACGTCTACAGTTATTCGTTGGAAGCAAGATTTTGGACCGCATAGAGCCCTATTACAGCAGGTCATCCCAATCGGGAGCAAACCTGCCACGTGGGTAGTTCAACTTGTCGAGGAGGAAGCTCATGGTGAGAAACAGTTTTCCTGGGGCCTTGCTTCACGCACTTAAAAAACAACAACAACAACAACAACAACAACAACAACAACCACAACAACCCTGCCAGTAGCGTATATTACACTCACAAAGCACCCGTCAATTACAGGAACTAACATCAACCTATTGTGGATGTTTCTTTTTCCCAAAGTCAAAGGCACAAACATTCTAGCTGTAGCTTTGTTTGGAAGTCTATTGCATCATCGCTATTAGATGCTATTAGCTTCATTTTGATTCGTTCACATCTACGCCGGCCATGGTTGCCCTTTTGGAGTTCTTTCCGAAACCAGGACGTGAGTGGAGGATTATTGTTTCAGCGTGGCAGTCCGGAATTTATGTTTACTAGACAGTTCTGTCGTTGTTTTGCGCGCCAATTGATTCATAAACTCACCTGCCGAGCACGTCAGTCTGTCTCGGCCTCCTGGTTGGGGCGCAGCGGGCGCTGGAAGGCGGGCTCGACATGAAAGGCGTCGCGGGCATCGAAGAGCGAGGAGTTGGGAGCATCGCTCAGGAACTCGGAGAGCCACACCTGGACTAGATGCCGAGTGATGGACTGTTAGGTACAAGGACAAGAGCCAGAAACATCCAGAAATCTACAATCAACAACTCAAAAACACAAAAAATGAAAATGTGAACGCCTAAAGGCCTAAATACAACTCCAACTAGGCACAGGAAAACGCAACTACAAGGGGAAGAAAATATAAACAGCTACCAACAACGAGAACAGCAGCAACAACAAAAACAACACGCACAACACATGACAACGCAACAAAACCGCAACAGCATCACAAACAGAAAGGACAACTACATCTCCAACCAAGTACAAACGCAAAAAATACAGCTACCATCAACTACGACAAGTGACAAGAATGGCTTTACCCCGAGCTATCCCGGTCCGCCCAGCTACGCTGGTGGGATATCTGGGTCGGGGCGACTGGTGAGGCATCCCTGGTCCACGTTGTGCTTTGGTTGCGCTTGGTATTGTCATCATGTGTGTGTGTGTGTGCGCGTGCATATGTGCTTATTGTCTGCTGTCGTGCTTGTCTTGGTGTGTTGTCGGGTATGACACGTGTTGTGGTTCTCATTGGTGTTTGGGTTGCATGTGTGTGTGTGTGTGTCTGTGTGTGTGCGTTTTGTCATGTGTGTTGTGGCTCTGTTTTATGTGATGTGTTGTGTTATGTATGTTATGTGTGTCAAAGTTTGTTGTCTGCACCATGTCGGGCCACTGGCGGGATACGACATGCGTGGGATCCCTACGTCGGGCCACTGGCTGCCGGGACAGAATCGCTGCTTGTGTTTGGTATTGTGGTTGTGTGGTTGTCTGTGTCATTGCGTGTTGTCTGTGTTATTGTTTGTTCTTTGTGTTGTTTGTCATTGGACTGGTACTGGCTGATGCCCATATCAGATCATAGCAGCAAAAGTCACTAGTCACTATACGGTGGGTTGTCTCCATTGCGGTTACGTTTGCTGTTGTTTGTTGTCGTCTTTGTCATCGGGCGCTGTGAAATGTGATGTTTGGCGGTGCTGGCATCACTGGGTCTTGCCACTAGCTGGGTCGGGTTAAGTTTGGTGTTGTCCTTGTACATTGGATGTGTCACTGCTTCTTGTCTGTTATCGTGTTGTCTGTGCTTATAGTTGGGTGTCATGGTCTCAGTGTTGTGGTTTGTTGTCTGTTGTGGTGTTATCATTGCACTAGGCGATCCACTGCAGCTGCAAAGGTAGCAGGTTATCCATCTAGAATCTAGCTACATCAATCTTGTCGGGTGGGGAGCAACAAGAGCTTAAAGAAGAACAACAAACACCAACAATATCACCCACAGCCTCCACATCAGCATCTACAAACAGGAACATGTCATCTACATCTACCTCTACATCTACATAACGTAACATATCATCATCATCATCGTCGTCGTCGTCGTCATCATCATCCTCATCCTTATTGTCACCGTCGTCGTCCTTGTGTGGCTAAGCAGAATTCCGTCTGGGACGCCATAAATGGTTAGTAGGTTTGCGCAAAAGTAATCAACCACCAACATCCACCAAGCCCTTGTCTGCTGAAGGGTCTCCCCATCGTCCATAAACTGTTTCACCCATCTCACAACTGTCTTTTTCGCCTCAAACGTCATCTCTGGCGCCAACTGCTTCCCTTTGCGCTTCCGCCAGTCTCCCCAGTAGCTCGCGAGGCGCGAAAAGGGGTTCCGAAGGATCACCACACGCAGGCGCCAGTGGCCATGGAGGCAACAGGTGGGGCAAAGTCCCAAAGGGAGACCGAGCATCGGAAGCCTTGGAACTGGCTTTGAGCTCGGAGGATGTGAAAGGATATGAAGTTAGCAGATTGGGAGGATCGGACACCACGGTTCTGACGCAGCGACCACCAAGAAAGGTATTTCTTTGAGATGTTGGGGATGATGTATTTCTTGAGCCCTGGAGAGTAAACTATTCATAGCCATCCCAAATCGATCTTTGAAAGCTAATCCAACTAAACCCCTCGTGGCGAAAATCAGTGATCGGTTTGCAATCTTTTGCAAAAAAGCGCATCGCATCACCTGTCGCATCACGCGTCGTCCGGTGGTGACCAGCGGCTCATCCTGCAAATGCCTTCCAGCCTTGGGACGAAGATTTCGACTTCGGTATGGGACGGGAAGGTTGGAGGCCGCTATTAGGAGCAAGGACGCTACTAGGGGCTCCTGGCCTTACTACTAGGAGCAAGAAGCCACTAGGAACAAAGGGCATCGCCAAGGACGCTACTAGGTTGGAGGCCATCTCTAGTAGGTTGGAGGCCATCGCAATATGGCGGGGTTGATGGAACAACGGTACCGTATACAAAAGTTGTCGAAGATAGAAATATGGATCTGTTTTGTGATTGGTTGAGTGTTTGACACAAACAGCACCCGCCAACCCCTCCTTTTATCTCCTTTTGAGTTGAACCGTTTGTTGTGTAAGGGACCTACCGTGACCTACCCGATCTTACCCGATCCTTGATCCTCTATCAAGACGGGTCTTGCTGATTCCGACTACGTAGTAGCGTCCTTGCTCCTAGTAGCGATGCCCTTTGTTCCTAGTAGCGTCCTTGCTCCTACTAGCGAGGCCAGGAGCCCCTAGTAGCGATGAAGTCCTGTTTGGACGAGAGGCAATGCTGTTGAGATTTCGCTCCCAGTAGCCCTGGTCGCATCCCAAGCGCAGTGCCTCGTGCTCAATCCACTCACGGGCAAAGCGCCTTAACAGGAACGGAGTGCGCCACAGGTGGCTGGGCCATGGAAAGCCACAGGCAGGCGTTCGTTCTCTGGAAAACTGCGCAAAGCCAGACGAAAGCATCTGGATGAGTCGGTCGCGCTTCTCTGTTCACCCAGTTCGCACGCTCTGGCCACATTTGTTCATTCATGCACCCAAGCGAGAGTAGCGTTAAGGAATCACCCAGAAGTGACTACAATTGTATCAATATCTGATTAGTAGCCGCAAGATTCTGAACGTCCTCAACCCTCGAAGCTTGCACTTAAAGTCTGTTGTCTCAAAGCAATCACCTGTGAACCCAACATCAAAAAATTATATACTTTGATTTGGGTACTTTGGGAACTTTGAAGTACACATGCGGGGCCACAGGTACAGTCCAACATCGACAGATCGACCTTGGCCATGTCACTTAAATGTGGCATCGCCCAAAGACGCGCTGGTTGCCTGTGCTAGTTCGACGAGCAAGAGCCGGCTACAAGGATTTTGTGATAATTTTATCCGTCACAGAGTGGACGGCATTGAAATGGAAGATGATTCTGAATGAAAGCACAAATTCATACAGCATAACTTAACATACTATGCAAATGCGTCTGGTATCATTTAAGAGCAGCAAAGTCAAAAGGTGAGACGCAAAATGACAATAACACAAAACAAACCGCCCGGCCCATGCACATAATGCCTTTAGATGTCTTTAGTGTCTACCGCCTCTACCGCCTGCGCTCTTGTCACTTCAAAACGACAACCTCTTTCCGTCTTCCAAAATCGATGATATCGAACTTACGGAATCTTCCTAAAGTTAGAAGCTACTAGGAGCCATCGCACCGAACAAGGACGCTACGAACGGGGCTCCTGGCCTTACTAGGAGCAAGAGGACCCTACGAACGGAGCAAAGGTTAGTGGTTAGGGTTAACTGCAGCACCTGCTCCGGCCTCATCCTGCAGGGACGCAGTAATGGCTCGACGCACGGCCGTCAGCGCAGGCAGCAAACCTTCCAGCATGGCGGCCCAAAGCCCCGTTGACCTGGAGAAAAGAGACACGCGAGGCTTCTGCCAGATGTGGGCATAATATGCGCGCAGCGCAAGCGAGATATGATTATATAAGTGTCGATCCAAAATGTCGCGGAATCCTTCTCAGGGACTAGCTCTTATAGTGTTTATTTCCGGCAATATTGTCCAAATCCCTGAACGTTCATCAAATCATTCCAAATGACATCCCAAAAACAATCCTTACTCTACACGAACATCGAACCACGCAAAAGAAAGAAGCTCTCAGCAATATAGTATATAATAATAACATACATAGACACCTCTTCCATCCTTCTTCTCCGCGGCCCACCTGGATGCGGCCTTCAGGGTGGCCTGGATCGCCAATGGCAGGTGGGGTGGACAGTAGAGCTGCCGGGTCGACGGGCAGCTGTGAGCCGTCAAGAAACTCATATGCCTTGGCAATCGATCCACACATCTCGACGCCTTTGTGGAAGACCCGAGCGCGATTCAGAACAGGTACTGCAAACAAAAATGATCAAATTGTTCTCAAAAGAATCGAAAAAAAAAAGAACATAAAGAAACAGCCTGTGGAATCGCCAAGAACAGATTTTGGAGGCGGGGTGCTGAAGGCACAAAGCAACCGGTCAAAGGCGGTCGGATACAGAGTTGATTTCAAAGTTGAAGTAACCGCCGCACACCGCCGCACCAGACTCTTCGGTAAGCGTTACCATCAACAAGGCTGGGGCTGTATGTAGGTTATCTGAGCTCACTCCTCTCAAGTGGAGGCCATTGCTATTAGGTTGGAGGCCATCGTATGTTGTGCATGTTCTGACAGACCAAGGATCCAAAGGATCCAGTAAGCGCGAAAGGAAAAAAAGGAGGCCATCGCTAGCAAGATGGAGGCCATCGCCATTGGGTTTCATGTTGTCTCTCTTTTCTTTCTTATGTTTTTCTCTTGTTTTGGAGGCCATCGCGCTTAGGTTGGAGGATCTGAGCTCACTCCTCTCAAGTTCCCAACTTGCTCCAAGTTCTGCAGCGCATCTTCGAATTTCGAGGAGTGAGCTCTAAGATGAAAAGAATTGCATGGGGTTCAGTCCTGTTCTTGGAGTTTGCCACCATTTGGTGTATTCGAGATTCTTGCTGGACCTGCACTGGAGAGGGTGGAAGTTCAGAAGGGAGCTTAGAAATCCATCGTCTTCCAAACCCATGAAGGTCACTTCGTGATTAACGATACACCTTTGATGTCTTGCACCACCCCAACAAAAAACAAAGCCAGCTGGCGTATCAAGCTTGTCCATATTATTATGTCTATGATGGCTACAGCCAAAGCTGCTGAGTGTCATATGGGAAGCCCACCATGATGCGGCACCTGCGCACAAAGACTTTCGGTTTAGAATCTATTTGAACCCAGTGAAGCTCAAAACCACGACTGTCAATCTAAGTAAATCAACAGCAATTGATATCTGATGTGGATGGCAACAAGCCACCAATTTTCCAGTTGTCATCCCACACTTCCAGCGCGCCTGGGTTGGGCGTACTTGCTCCATTCGTCGCACTGCTCGTCATCACACAGCTCTGCCACAACCCGCTGGTGCTCTGCGCTGCACTCGGCCCGCAGCGCGCGCAGCGCGGCCGGCGCCATGCGCATGGGGCCGAAGGTGCGAAGGAACTCCTGAGGCGTTTGGGGTTGACCTCTTCTGAAAGAAAGGTTCGAACCATGACAAAAGGTCGAAGCCAATCCAAATCAGGTCGACACAGGTTGACGCAGGTCGCAGCGCCGCGCAGAGCTATCGACCTCCTCGACATCCACCAAAGCGCCGTCCGTCACCAGTACCGCCCGGCCGTTGCACAGCGCCCGCTCGGCAAAGGTCGTGCCCGCCGAAGGCCGCGGCAGAGCAGGGAGCCCTGCAGAAAAATATGTTTGGAGAGTCTTTGACTGATAAGAAAAAAACAAAAGAGAGAGAGAGAGAGAGAGAGAAAAAAACACACACACAAAATAGTAATGAATGGCCTCCAACCTGCTAGCGATGGCCTCCAACCTAAAAGCAATGGCATCTTTAGAAAGTCTCTGAAAGTTGCATTTGTCTTTCTTCACCCACAAAGGCAGTCCGTCGGGACACATCTGGCAGCTCAGCGGGAGACAAATCATTGTCCCAGGAGTTGCTCCTGGACCAACAGGAGTTGCCATTAAGTTGAAGGCAAATGCTGTTAGGCTGGAGGCCATTGCTTCTAGGTTGGAGGCCATTGCTTCCAGGTTGGAGGCCATTGCTATTAGGTTGAAGGCCATCGTTGGAGGCCATTGCTACTAGGTTGGAGGCTATCGCTAGTAGGTTGGAGGCCATTGCTTCCAGGTTGGAGGCCATTGCTTTTAGGTTGAGGGCCATTGCTAGGTTGGAGTCCAATGCTTCTGGGTCGGAGGCCATTGTTTCTAGGTAAGAGGGCATTGCATTGCTATTAGGTCTGAGGCCAACGCTTCTAGGTTGGAGGCAATTGTGTCTAGGTTGGAGGCTATTAGGTTGGGACCATCGCTAGTAGGTTGGAGGCGATTGCTTCTACGTTGGAGGGCATTGCTATTAGGCTGCAGGCCAATGCTTCTAGGCTGGAGGCCATTACTTCTAGGTTGGAGGGCATTGCTATTAGGTTGGGGGCCATTGTTATGAGGTTGGAGGCCATCGTTGGAGGCCATTGCTACTAGCTTGGAGGCTATCGCTATTAGGTTGGAGGCCAATGCTTCTAGGTTGGAGGCCATTGCTTCTAGGTTGGAGGGCATTGCATTGCTATTAGGTTGGAGGCCAATGCATCTAGCTTGGAGGCCATTGCTTCCAGGTTGGAGGCCATTGTTATTAGGCTGGAAGACATCGCTAGTAGGTTGGAGGCCAATGCTTCTAGGCTGGAGGCCATTGCTTCCAGGTTGGAGGCCTTTGCTAAAAGGTTGGAGGCCATTGCTTCTAGGTTGGAGGTCATTGCTACTAGGTTGGAGGCCAGTGCTTCTAGGTTGGAGGCCATTGCTATGAGGTTGGAGGGCATTGCATTGCTATTGGGTTGGAGGCCATCGCTATGCGGTTGGAGGCCAATGCTTCTAGGTTGGAGGCCATGGCTATGAGGTTGGAGGCCATTGCTAGTAGGTTGGATGCCATTGCTATGGGGTTG